ACTATGCTACCAGAGCTCCCTCTGTAAAGATTACAGCCTAGGAAATCCTAAGAGGCAGTTCTACTCTGTTCCATAGGGTTGCTGTGAATTGAAATTGACTCGATGGCACACAACAATAGCCGGATTCTTCCATATCCCTCAGTCTTCCAACCCACAGTTTTACTTCAGTATAAATGGACATAATTTTTAGATTTCATGGAACATGAAAAAAATTACATAACAAACTCTCATTGCTTTTAAAAATAAATTTATTTTTTTAAAAAATGATTTGAAGAAATATCTGTCTAATTTTCTCACAGAAACCTCATGTGCTTTTCATAAGAACGCCAATGTTATTAAGTCAAACTACAGACAAGTTTGACAAAATAGGAAATATTAATTGGATGTTTAAGGTTCAACTGAGACCGGGATTCAAACTTAATTCAAGCAATATGCTTGGAAATAAAATTAATGAGTTATAAAATTACAAGGCACACTGAAAAATAGATTATCTGTTTATTTTAGTCATGTCTTCTATAAAATTCCTTATTGCTACAATAAAATATTTTAATTTATTTGTCCTTTTATAAAGCATTAGCTATTCTGTGTTTGAATAGAATGAAAATGTCTAGATTATATTGTTTTTCAAATTTATTGCTTTTGTTAAGAACAGAATATAACTGTTACTTATACTCCTTTTTATTAAGTATATTAATGTCAATCTATTAAGTAATTTGTGCTTTGTTTACATATATAACTAAATAATAAAGCTGATTAATTTTTAAAATCATATTTATTAAATAAAATAAATACAATAAAATCAGAATAAATTTAACATGAGTTAAAATGTAGTTCAGCTGTAGAAACTTTCTGAAATGCCAGATTTTAAGATGTTATTAATTTAGCAAATTTCTTTGATGTCTTATAAAACAATTTTGTATCTATTATGGGATCTATTCATGTGAAATTTTTGGATGAGAACATTGAGGTACTTTTAAACAAAGATTTATGATTTGAACTGAACTGGTTGGACTAGAAATCTTCACCACCCATAAGCAATGTCACCATATTTACAAGTTCCTAGTGAAGGGCCATTTGGAGTAGAACACAGACTAGACAGATCTAATCGTGTGCAATCAATAGACATTTATTACTCACAGAGTAAACAGGACAAGGATGAGAAGAATAGCATATTGTCATCATCAGTGTAGGTTCCCTCAAATTAGACTGTCATCCACAGGTTTAGGTCACATTCAAGCATGCCTCAGCTCATGTCTTGGGAGGAGAATGCCTAAATCCTCTCTCTCAGGATTAAATTCTGATCAGACAACCATGTCTATGTCTCAAGTAGCATGTATAGAGAGCAGATAGGAAAAGGGTTAATAAAATGAAGTAATAAATTTGAAAGCCCCTTGCATTCTGTGGCCATCATTTATTGCCCCTATTCAGAGTAGGAATAGTACTTCATCCTTCACTCCACTAAGACAGCTTAAAAGTGTTCTGGGTTTCTTCAGAGGGTAATTGTTCCTCTCCAAAGCAATATTTTACTTTATGTCTATTCATAGCTATTATGTCCATTAGCAGCTAGGGACAATGAGAGGGCAATTATAATATAGCCCACTTGTGTATCCAGCCCAATAGGAATTTATATAAGTATTATTTCTTAAGAAAATGTTAATGTGCACATTTTAGGGATAAATGAGCAGTTACCAGAATCGGGGGCTTGTGACTGAGAGCTGTGGGTCATCTGCAGGAAAACATGAGCTGGACTGACATTGAAAAAGACTGAAAATAGCAACACAAGTTTGAGAGAGCCACTAAAGATTTTTGAGCAGGAAAGTTATATCATGATTTATCTTTTTTTTTTTTTTAATTGTGATTTGCATGAAAGTTTACAGGGTAAATTCATTTTCTGTACAACAGTTCATACACATTTTGTTTCATGTCATTGACTGCAATCTCCACAATGCAACAGCTGTCTTCTCATTTCCTCCCTCTAATTACCTTTCCCCCCGTCTATCTTTCCTATGCATTCCTGCCATAAGAGCTATTTCATTGTGCAAATATTGCCCTTCTCATCTCCTGTGGTTGATCATTCTAAAGAGTGCACCTACCTGGTGTTCACCTTATATGCCTGTATATTGTTTGGCTGGAAGCCACAGGAGTAAGTTCAGTACCATGCCTGTAAGGTGACTAGGGGCCATAGTCTGGGGTTTTCCTAGTCTCTGTCAAAGTAGTATGCCTTTTTTTTTTTTTTTTTCCTTTATCACTTTGAGCTTTGTTCTACATTTTTTCCTACTCTATCCAGGATCTCCTATTTTGATCCATTTCCTCTTGGTTAACAGTGGTAACTGGGCACTATCTAATTCTTCTGTTCTCAAGGTCATGTAGGCTGAGGTTCACATGGTCCACTAGTCCCTTGGACTAATTGTTCCCACTGTCTTTAGTATTCTTCATTCTTCTTTTCTCTGGATGAGGAGAGACCAATTGTTGCATCTAGATGTCTACTTGCAAGCTTTTAAGACCCCAGTCACTACTCACCAAAGTGGGATGTAGAGCAATGTTTTTGTCTAGTACCTTATACCAGTTGAGCTTCATGCCCCCCAATGATTTATTATGTTTTAATGTCAAAATTAAATCCTCAGATATAAGAACCACCACTTGTCTGTCAGTTTGTGTACTGTGGTGGCTTTCATGTTGCTATGAGGCTGGAAGCTATGCCATTAGTATTTCAAAAACCAGTAGGGTCACCCATGGTGGACAGGTTTCAGTGGAGCTTCCAGATGACTGGGAAGGACAAGACCATCCACTTCTGGCAAAAAAAAAGAAAAAAGGCTGCTGAAAACCTTATGAATAGCAGTGAAACACTGATATATTACTGGAAAACTTTATGAAGAGTCATGAAACATTGTCTGATATAATGGCCAAAGATGAGCCACTCAGGTTGGAAGGCACTCAAAATATGACTGGGAAAGAGCTGCTTCCTAAAAGTAGAGTCAACCTTAATGATGTGGATAGAGTAAAGCTTTCATGACCTTCATTTGCTGATGAGGATGACTCAAAACAGGAAGAAACAGCTGCAAACATTCATTAATAATCAGAACATGGCATATACAAAGTATGAATCTAGGAAAATTAGAAGTTGTCAAAAATGAAATGGAACAGATAAAGATCAATATTCTAGGCATTAGTGAGCTGAAATGGACCAGAATTGGACAGTTGAATCAAATAATTATGTGATATACTATGCAGGACATGGTAAATTGAAGAGGAATGGTGTTGCAGTCATCATAAAAAATATTTCAAGATCTGTCCTGAAGTACAGTGCTATCAGTGATAGGATAATGTCCATATGCCTACAAGGAAGACTAATAGTACTATTATTCAATTTACATATCAACTACTAAAGCCAAGGATGAAGAAATTGAAGATTTTTACCAACTTCTGCAGTCTGCAATTGACCAAATATGCAATCAAGATGTACTGATAATTGTGGGTGATTGGAATGAAAAATTTGGAAAAAAAAATCCTCAGTAGTTGGAAAATGTGAACTTGCTGATAGAAATGATCCCAGAGACTGCATGGTAGAATTTTGCAAGACCAACTACTTATTCATTGCAAATACCTTTTCTTAACAACATAACTGGTGACTATACACATGGACCTTGCCAGGTGGAATACAGAGAATTCAGATTGACTAATCTGTGAAGCTCAACATCAAAAGTCAAAACAAGATCAGGAGCTGACTGTGGATCAAACCATCAATTGCTCACACACAGATCAAGTTGAAGCTAAGGCAAATTAAAATAAGCCCACAAGAGCCAAAATATGATCTTGGTTATATCCCACCTGAATTTAGATAGCATTTGAAGAATAGATTTAATGCACTAAACACCAGTGACCGAAGACCAGATGAATTTTGAGATGACATCAATAACATCATACGTGAAGAAAGCAAATGGTCATTAAAAAGACAGGAAAGGAAGAAAAGACCAAAATGAATGTCAGAAGAGACTCTGAAATTTGGTCTTGAACATAGAGTAGCTAAAGTGAGTGGAAGAACTACTGCAATAAAAGAATGGAGCAGCAGATTTCAAAGGGCAACTCAAGAAGACAAAGTAAAGTATTATAAGGAACTGTGCAAAGACCTGGAGTTAGAAAATCAAAAGGGAAGAACAGACTTGGGATTTCCCAAGCTAAAATAACTGAAGAAAAAACTCAAGCTTCAAGTTGCAACATTGCAAGATTCAGTTGGCAAAATATTGAACACAA